AGTGAGCATGTAATAAAGAATCTTGCACTAAGTCTGTCTTTGTCAAGACTTAGTGGTTCTGCCACTGCAGCAATGGTCACTGCTACCTGGATCCAAGTTCCTTCGCCATCCTGCGCACAGTCTCTACACTGAGTTTTTTGCCGCCCTTGATCTTGAGGATTCTGTCAAATTGAGTTGCCAAGGATCGCCAGCCAAAGTGTCCTTTTGCTCTTTTCTTGCTCAGAGATATCATCTGTTTCACTTTGGAAGAACTTGGCTTGAGCAACTCCAAAGTTGACTTGCGACCATTGACCTTTGGGGTCCCTGATTGTGTCCTTGCCTTTGCTGTTTTTTCTTAGCAGCAAGCCCTGCTTGCATTCTTTCAACCAGGACATCACGGTCAAGTTCCTGCATTGCAAGTACCAGCTTCCTCATGAAGCTCTCAAGGGGTGATGGCTGTAGAGCGAATAGCTTGGGAAAATCACTGCAAATAATTGAGACCCCCTTGTCTTTGGCAATGTTGTAGATTTCTTCACCATGTGAAGCTCTCCGAGAAATAGCCCGTGCTGATTCCACATAGATGTCCGTTGCTGAGTCTAGCAGCTTGAGAAATTTAACTCGCTGACAAACTGGCACAGAGCCTGAGATCACTTCTTTCACTTTCTTGATATTCTTCTTTGGAATGCCAGCGTTGAAAAGGGCTGCTGATGCCACCCGCCACTGCCGAGGTGCACTGTCCTGAACTTCAAAGCAAACTCTTGGGAATCATAAATATTAACTCACACAAAGCCAAATACAAAAAACAATCAATCTGAAAGTTTGCCAAGCATGAATCTGTTTGTGCATTGGTTTTTGTGCTTGTGCGGGCATAGACAGCCACATGTTTCTTCTTCGCCATGTATGAGAGACACAGCTGGAGGCTCTTTGTTCTTGGATCCAAATGCTGCATAGCCACCAAACATGCAATGGCAAATGCATTATTTCGACTCTTGCATTTCTGATTGCAATATCCTGGCCCAAGCCTGATTCACAACCACTGTCGCAGGTGTTTTCAGGCCTGGAAGACTTCACATGATTATGTTTATTTTTGAAGTCTTGGTGGTGTAGCTTCATGGGGGGGCTTGATGTGCTGCTGCTGAGTCTTGAATAAGAAGACTAACAATTCACCCTCTCTCATGTTTCATGCTTAGCAAGTTCAAGTGTTTTACTTCATATGTGGTCTACTACATAGAGTGACTGGATGCAGCATGTGTTTTGCCAGTGTTTGACTGCTAGGCACTGGGCTGACTTGAAGGTGCACCCGCCAGCTTCCTCCTTAGAGAAGCCAGAGAAGCCAAGTTCCAGTTGGTACTTACAAGTACATGAAAATCTCAGGTCATGAGAAAGGTGGTATCATATTGAAACACTGGTCACATTTTGGCTGAAAACTTGTTTGTGCTTCATACCATATCCAATCAGTAACATGCAGATTGGCTCACAGCAGGTGCTGGGTCATTGTGTTGAAGCTGAAAAAAAGTGTTGGGGTCATTGTGTCTAAGTCCTGGTTTCCAGGATAATCCAGAAAAAACAAACATGATTTGAATTGAATTTGAAATGTAAGTGAGCATGCCATCATTAAATCACTGAGACTTTTGTGTTACAGATGTGGAAACAATTCCAAGACATGTTTTGCATGCTGTGACCTTGAAGAGCTTGCACAATAGCTGATCACAAGCTGTCGCCTCAATGGAGTCCAATGGATGGAACTTGGAAAGGATGCGCCAGGAGGCAATTGGTGTTTCCAGAGACCTAGACATGGCTGAGATCTTCAGTGGCCGTGGAAATATTCATGGAGCTGGACTTGCCAAGGGCTTGAAATCCATGGCATTTGACATCTTGCTGGACCCGTCTATGGATATCATGACTGATGAAGGCATGGCAAAGGCTACAAGAATTGTGGCACGTGTCCGTGAAGGTGGCTGGTGCCACTTTGCTCCTGACTGCAGGAGCTTCTGCGGCTTGTGCTGTGCCAACAGCAAGAGAACAAAGGCCAATCCAGATGGTTCTGGAGACTTTGCAACGCAGGGCAATATTCAGGCTGATCGTGGTGGGTTGCTTTTTGAATTTGCTGCTGAGCGCAATGTTGATGGGACCTTGGAGAGTCCTGAGGGCAACTTCTTCTGGCAACGAAAGAGTATTGAGTCACTCCTTCATCGCCTTGGAACTACAAGAGTGAAAGTTGCTCGATGCAGATTTCCAGCACCTGGTCCTCGTTACAAGAAGATCTACCGGATTGAAGGTGTCACCAAGGGCCATTGGATTCGTGACTTGCAATGTGAGTGCACATGCCAGCAGCCTCACGCAACCCTTGCAACAGTCAAAGAGGTGAAAAAAGCTGATGGCAAAATCCTGAAGCAAACAACTGGAAAAGGAAGAGACTTGAAAGAATCAGGAGCGTATTCATATACAATGGCATCCAAAATGGTGCAGTTGTGGCAGGCTGCTCCTGGCTCTGTCAGATCTTCATGTTTGTGGCCAAGGGAGGAGCCAAAGATCAGACCTCCATGTTCGTGGCCAATGGAGGGCAGCAGCCATGCAGCAAGTTGGAAGATTCCGATGGAATGACAACGGCTGCATGGCTGCTGCATTGTGTACAGAGCTCGTTGGGATGACATCTTGCGCTGATGCATTTGCAGTGGCCAGGAACTGCAACACAAAAATGCAACATCCATATACAACTCTTTAGTTGAAGAATCATGATGAATGGTTCCTGTGGAGCAGTACAGAGATGCAAATGCATACAGAGTTGGAAGATGTCTAATTTGATGCACAGAGAAATTGCCAATAGATGGACCAGTTGAGTCCTGGATGCCAGGACAACTGTTTGATTCACACAGGCTGCGTTTCCTGGACCCCAGGATGACCGTTCATGCAGGCTGCATTTGCTTTTCTGCAAGGGGGCATGTATAAGATTGGGCTCCCCTGTAGGATTGAAGCAGTATGACCATATGAGATATTCATGTTCATTTTAGTTGTTCAAAACATTGATACTATCCTGGCAGCCAGGATCACTCCAGCCACCATCATTTGTTCACAAAAGCAGTGCTCCTGCAGGGATGTCATAAGAGCTGCCCCCCTTGCAATCACATGCAGCAACCTGTGTGGGATGCATTGGTCTGTTTAGGCGTTTGCAATGGTGGATGCATTGCGCATTGGTCTGTTTAGGCGATTGCATTGGTGAACCGATGCAAGTGTC